ATCTTTCTTTTTCTTCTCGCCTTCGGTTCGAAATCATTATCGAAAGTGGTGGCCTCAGAAGTGGGCATTATAAGTGCGATTTTGGATAAATGAAGCATTGTCTCGACTGCGCGGAGCCGATGCCATCCCGGTCGCACCATCTCGGCCAACACTTTACTTAACTTCGGAGAGTTTGCCTTCGGGTTAAGGTGGGTGGGGTGGTATAATAACATCGTCCTTCTCAACCCCATCTTCGTTAAAATGCTGGACAAGCCCTATGGAGACGGAGTAAGCAGTACAGTCTGTTACTACTTCTTCGTGATCAGCCTTGGTCGCAGTGCAATCGGTCGGAACTGTTGTTGGAATGCGTTGTCTATCGATGACATGCGTATGCCTCGTCAGATCGCCCGGTTTGGCGCGACAATCCTCTGACAATAGGCTCTCCGTTTAATAAACTCGCACTCCATCTTCTTCTCGAGAATAACACGCCACTCTGGTCTGCTCTGATCATAGTAACACTGTTAATAGGCGCATGACTTCTGTATAGTACTAATCTTCAAATTTTTCAATTGTCTTTGCTCCTTCCCTTGCTTATTAAAAATTTATCCATTTCATGGATTTTCTTATTAGGGGTTGACAAATTTTTATTTCTCGATGTCACGTACGGTATATTAATAAACTCGTGTAATCCCATCTGCTCTTATTGTTGATTATAAAAATGTTAATTAATTCTTTGTGGTGTTTAACTTAACACGTTTTTATTTAATGTTTGCTTTTTTGCGCTTGAGATGTGTTGTTTTTATAAAAATATTTCATAACAAATTTACAGGATCTGGCCGCATCTGGCCACGTTGAAATGTGAGCATTAACCATATAGATATACAGGAAGCATTCGCGAAGGGAAAAACGAAACAAACACGTACTTAAACTAACCGGAGAAAAATCTAATTTTCGGTGTATAGTTTCGTTAAACAATGTTGAAAACTGTATAAACACTTGCATATGCATTCATTTAATTGTCAGTGCATACATGATATCAGGTACATAGTAAATAAATACGTGCATGTTGTAATGGAGGACTTGCTTTGTATGAAAAAAAAGAATTGTTTATTTTATTTATTCGTGGTTTTTTCTTTTTTTTACATTTTTTATGACAACAAACATCACGTATTTAAACTCATTTCATATGCGCTGTGAAACACGTTTATTATTATTGTCACGCGGTGAGAAATAGCGTAATAGTCGAAGTAAACAAAAATTAACAGATAAAATATGACAAAAAAAATAAAACTCCTTGTCCGTATTGTAAGAGATACACATATAAAAAGATTCTTGGTGGTAAGGGATAGAAACCGAGTAATTCAATTCAATTCAATTTAGATGGATTTTAATATAACAACGATTTTTTTACATTTTTTTCGGTTCGTTTTCCTCTTTTTAATTAAAAGTTGTTTGTTAGTCTCATTAGTAGGTAACATTCTCTCCGAATCGAATTAAGGTGCATATAAATTTTTCCTTAAGGAATAACACCATTGAAAACAAGTTTTGTCTGACGATTATCTTTCGATAGAAAATACGGGAGTAGAATAATAATATCCGCGAAGGTTATTATGCATTTAACAAATTTTGAAAAGTGAGATTGTTTTAAAAAAGTATTAAAAAGTGGCAACGCCAGAGCATACTGGTCCAAATTTGAATAAAAAAAAAAACAAATATTATTCAATTTGCATTACCATATCCAGAGGATTGCCTAGAAGTCTTTGTCAATATTGATTTTTGTCTGATTGGCAAGCATTCGAATGAAGAATTGAATATTCGAACGCACAAACTCTTTTATTAATAGAATATGTCTGGATTAACTTGTCGAAAATATCCTACGTGGTTCTTTAGAGAATCACGTTTTAAAGAGACTGTAAAAATTTTAACGAAAAAACTGAATATTATTTGAGTTATGCTGTGTGAAGTTTTTAAAAATTGTGTTTCGAAAAGGACGCGTTAAAGCGTTGACGTGTGACATTTTCGATCACAATTAATTTTTTTTTTTTTTATTAGGCCGCAGTCCCAGCACTATAATAGTTTTCTTTCACCCTATCAAAGCAGGAATCGCACATGTTACATTTTAACTTCGTACCAAACGGTGAGTTTCTTCGGAATCGCTTTCAACCTCATAGTTAATCAAAGAATATTTTAATGAAGCCTTATAAACCTTTTTTTCTTAGAAAGGCTTTCAGCACACAATAGAAGCACAACAACAAGTAAGAAAGTAAGATTCGGCGAGGACCGAATCTCGCATACCCAACACTTTGCTCTTCGCATTTTACTCTCGAAGTTCGTTTATTTGATACTCATAACACTGGTATTACAAAGAAAAAATTAATCGCGTTGTCTATCATATTCATTGTAAATTTAACCCATTTTTAGGCAGATAACATATCTTTATTTGAGGGGTGTACAAAATGGTTTTAAACATTTTGTCTTGTTTGCCTTATGCTTATTTAAGCATTAAACCTCAGAAAAGTAAGAAAAATATAATTTAATTACTCATAACTTTATGTGGAGACGGCCAATGCCGCTGATTCCATTTTTGTACTTAGAGAGTAAAGTGTCTTTATATATATATATATATATATATATCCATGAATTTTTCTGTTCTAAATACAATCCTGCGGTTCTTCGTGACATTTACTCCTTGAAAATTATTATTCCGGAGAAATTTTTCACAATAATTCGAGACACAAAATTTTTTTATTAAGTAACATATAAAGTGTACTTGTCTAAGAATCGTCCCAGTGAAATTGCTCTTACTTTTTTAACAGAATCGCCTCGTACTTTAGCGGTCGCACATAAAAAGCGACTATTAATCTCATACCTCTATGCATATTATTGTTACTTCTTAGAAAGCCCAACAGCATGCCCTTTTATGGTTCGGAACTCGTTTTCAAAAGTAAACTGCATCTAATCTTCACGTTCAATCGATGGTTGATAAAGCTAAGTTAACTGTTTGCCTCATGAAAACATGGGCTAAGAAGTTTGCCGAGTCCCACTTCACAAAAAGCTTACATAAATCTCTAGTTAATCCTATTGCCAAGAGTGCATCAGTTGTTTGGTTACCATGCAATGAATGTTATGCGCAGATGCTGGAATTTATTTGCCCTTCGCGCATTGAGATGGGAAGCGCAAAAAACTACGCCCCATTAATAGAGGTACGTATATCAGCATTTTAATCAGCCTAAACCCTCTAGAGAAGAGAAGCCTCACTCTTGCTCTGAATTTCGTAACTAAGTTTATTAATTGTGAAGTATGACTTTTGCCCCTGGTAGACGAGCTGGCGTTTACTATCCCACGTAGAATCTGTAGGCGTTGCTTTGTCTATCACCTTTTAGAAAAAAGTGAAAATGGCCAGAGATGAATCGTAGAAAAATTTAGAGGAGCTACTATCCTATGCGTATCTTCCACAAGCTCACCTGACATTTAGTTACACCTTACGGATCACTTTTTCGGCCAATCCTCAGATAACGTATCGTATATCGAATATCATATTAAAAAAAAATGTCCAAACTTCAAAATTTCTCGACAGAAAACGCTGAGCATAAGCGTTTCGGCCACACTACGGTGTAAAAATATCTTGCTTTAAACTTTGCGCAATGAAAATTAGTTCACAATAGTAAAATTTAACTGTATCAAATTTGCACCACGCAATTTTATTCTCTGAACTTCACTTCATAAAAGGATTCTCATGTAAGTTAAGGGAACCGATTTCATTTCCAATAATTTATTAAGAAAATTAGCACGTAAAGCTAATTTGAAATGAAATTTAAGTGTAATAAATTTAAGTAATGTATGGCTATTTTTAAAGGCTCCCATGGAAACAATGAAAGAAAGTATAAAGCTTTGTATTTTATCAGACAAATAAATGAAGAATGGCGGCTTTGCCCGACTATAATATTTTCTGTTCTATTTCATCCGGCAATTATAGTTCATAAACTTGAAGAAATTCGCCTTTTAAATTTATTGCAAAATTCTCTTAAATTTTTCTTCAGCCTAGGCTTCTAACTTGACTTTAATAATCAATTTAAATGTGTCTATGAGATACATCAATATACGCGAAAAAAATGAATAAATTGTACTCTTCTTGCGCTGTTAGTGCTCCTTTGTTTTCCTCCTTCGATCTTTAAGATTTTAAGAGATTCCTGTGTTTATACAAATGTTCTGCTTATTTTACTAATAATCAAATGGTAGAAAAGTTATCGAATTCACGTGAAATCTAAATCTTTTAAACCCACTTTATTAATTTTCCAAATAATACTTGATTTAAGGCGACGCAATAGATCATATATTGTATATATGTATATATATATATATATATATATATATACGATTGCGAAGTGGCTATTGCTCTTAGAATTAGCATTGAAATACAAGCCTACCATTTTAGAAAACTTTCGCAGAAGCTCACCGATAGGTAATTTTTTTTTATTCTCTATATCGCTTGAATCCCGTAAACTTATTCTGATGAAAAGTGTGTCTTTATGTTTCAGCAAAGCTTAATTTTTTATGACATAAACAGAGATTTTTTAAATACTTAAATATTCTCTGCAAAGGAAAAGAAAAACATAACTTCTGTTTAATAAAAAAAGACTAAAGTAAGTGCGCAGTGAGCATATGCAAAGTGACAGTTAAGGATAATTGTGTGCAAAAAAAAAAAAAACGGAAAACAGCAAATCAATGCATAAAAAAGAACTGAAATAAAATATGTAGGTAAATGTGGAGAAGTTGCAAAACGCACTTAAGTAGACAATCATTTGAAATTGGCGAAACGAAAAATGGGAAAGGTAGTCGTTTGAAGATCGAAAGCTAATTGACAAACATTAAGATTGGATTCTATGCAATGAAAAGTTGAAACATGTTTTGATTAGGTCGCGCAATCATTTTTTTTCTTTTCATTGTAAACAAAAGAAAAAATTCACGAAGTACATATTTTTAAAATTCATTTCTGTTCGTTATTTGTTTGCTTCATGCAGAGTTAAGCGTATGCGATGCCAAATTGCCTCAACAATTAGTGACACTTTTGTGGCAACATAACGCAACTGTATCTAAGGAAAATCCAAATAAATCTTCCAATAGAACAAACAGTTTGAAGACTACACCTGCCAGAACAACCACAACAACAGAAACAACAGCATCATTAGCAATAAGCGGCCTTGCTGGTCTATCATCACATACACATGACTTGGTCGCAACACCAAGCCTATCAACGTCATTATCGTCAACTTTAATAAAAAATAACAAAAATTTACTCGACTTGTATGCATTGACCCCAGCTGTTGCGAGCTTAGAATCTGCCGCTTTGATCGAAGAACAGCCATTAACACAAAATTCGATAACGACAAATTTACCACAACCCATTACAATACAAGAACAACAACAAGAACAATTTACAACAACATCATCTGCCGCCTTCTCACCGATAACTAACCCAAATTCCGATTACTCTGAGGAATGGTTTTATTCATTGCCTCCAAATGCACTAAGCACTGACGTTGATAGTGATGCTGGCACTAGCGATTTACCGCCATTGGATGAAGAACAACAAGCAATAGCTGATTTATTAACCAAAGGATTTTCTATACCAACGTTTTTACCACCGTTTCCGGTTTTTGCTGTAGCCGATTTACCTGCCTATTTGAATTCGGTATCGACAACTACAACAGCCACCACCACTACCGCAGATACCACATTCGAACAATCAGCTTTAATGCCGAATCTGTTTAATAGCAATACACAAGAGCAGCATTTATTTTTGGACAATTCACTAACAGGCAATGCGCACATATATAGAAACTCGACTATGGCAACAACAACAAATATAACCGTACAAATGGGCAATCATGCCTACATGCCATGCCATGTGAGTAGAATATTTAGTTTGAAAGAGAGTTGTTTTTGTTTTTTACCAAGCATTCTATGTGGATTAAAGCTTACGTGAGACAAGTAAGCGCTCAAAAAAGTTTTAAAGACAACTGAACCGAGCAAAGATTAATTTTTCATAAAACTTCTTTTTAAATATAGACAAGCATTTAAAAAAATTTTCAAAAATTACGTAAAATCGATCTACAAATTTATAAACAATTTCCGTGAAACCATGCCTTTAAACAAGACGGTATTAACAAAGATAACTTTTGCTTTGTGTAATTACCTAGGCAAACGCAACAAATTTTTATATATATAAATATATGTACGTAACTGTAATTCTACAGATATTATTTATACACTAACAACGATATGCTTAATGAAATATATTATCACAACTTATTAAAGAATTATCCTATACGAATCGTGGTGCCGGGTATATTGAGTTGTGCTAACGTATGTAACATGCAGGAGGACTTAAGATGGATCCATCTTTTATTATACCAATTTGATTCGAAAATGAATCGGAATCGATCTAAGCCTATTTAACCGTCTGTCCATGTAAATTTGTGCTTAATCTCCAGGTCGTAATTTTTGAGATATTTTGATGAAATTTAATATACAGAGGTGCTTTTATCTAAGAATGAAAACGATTTGAATCGGTCCGCTTCACCGACCACCCCAGGATAGATCTTTAGATCTTTACTATTAAGCAATTCGCACGCTTTCCTTCGACTACTATATTGTTGAAACTTCTTTGGCACATATGTGTAAAAATCTAGTGCTGACAAATCCATCCCGATGAGCAATCCCGTCTGCTTTTGGGTGAAATGATACAATGCTCACAAACGATTCGTAGATATACGGCTGTAGCCCTAAATACTGCTTAGTAACGTCTCTCTGTAGCACAACGTCTGTCGCATGATAAAGTTGAGCAAAAAGACGAAGACGAACATCGTAACGGTCACACAGTCTAGCGGGAGTTAGTACATAGCTTGGGGGTTCTCGCCAGCTTAAAAGCACATATAATGTCAAGAAAATTGCATTCTGATGAGTCAGTACTCTATATCTTACGGAACTCCTGTCCACAACTTGTTTGGGTGACTGGAGGCTGGGATATCCTTCCCACAAATTTTAGCAGTGTTCATCAAAAAAGTTGACATTTATTTTGTTTTGAAGAAAAATTTTTTATGAAGCAATCCTTTCGCATATTAGGACCTATGCTGCACATAAAACGACCGACTTTCCATGGGATGGACAGTGTCGGCGTGTCCTCCAGGTGTGTTGAAGCTCTTTTGGGCAAGATAATGAAGGTCATTAGAGTGTAGTTGCATGGTGAGTCGAAATGCGTAAAAGTGTGGCTACATACTGAGTTTAACCCCTTTATAAAATTCACTGGCATCACGGATATCAGAAGTCCTCGGCGACACAGTTTCGTCTGATTAATGGGTTCTGGTTTCCACAAGATCATACAGCTAAATCACAAACCTAAATATTTAAGACCTTAGATAAGCCTAGTGTTTTCCAAATGGAAGGATTTTGTCCGTAAACGTTCCCTCATTTTAATACTTCATGTTGGTTGGGGCTGCTATAGCGTGGGAGATTATTTTATTGTTTGGACAACGATGGGTAACGCAAATACTAATCCGCTTGACATAAAATGTCGTGTAATCAAGTAACCTATATTTTATGTTTATGTTATCCACTACTAACTTATCGTTTCATATCTATTAACTACAATAACTTCCAAAACACTTGCTAAGCTTCTTATTATTATCGACAGAGAAAAATGTTTAATTTTCTATCTACAGATTCATCGTTTACAAAATAAGCCCGTGTCATGGGTACGTTTGCGTGATGGTCATATAATCTCGGTGGATCAAACAACATTTATAGCTGATCAACGTTTTCAGGCTATCTATCAAAATGACAATGAATATACCTGGTCGCTGCAAATCAAATACGTTCATCCGAGTGATGAGGGCTGGTATGAGTGTCAAGTTAGCGTTGAACCCAAAATGAGTGCAAAGGTTTATTTAAAAATTGTTGGTAAGTTATAAACAACAGCGCAGTCAACACGTGAGCTTTGTCAACCTTCAAAAGAATTATAAGAGAAAAACGTATAAATAAATTGCTTTTGTGTTGCAATTCACATTTACTTTGAACAGTGCCACTCACCGAGTTGATTGGTGATCAAAATCGTTTTGTTAAGGCTGGCAGTAAGGTGGTGTTGCATTGTATAGTACGCGGTACCCTAGATCCGCCACAATACATTATATGGTTTCGTGACAAAGCGCAAATCGGCGACGATAACGGCATGGGCTGGTATTCACAATTGGATCGCAATATATTTGGAAACAGCGAGGATAATCAGAATACGGTAATTGCTTTTGTTTGTTGTCCGCAAGAAGAAAAAAGCTTTTGCTTGCAACCAAAAGTCAATTTGCATTAGAGTATGTAACTATGCATGATTACACTAAGGAAAGCAGTAACACAATGACCGAATTATTTGTATATATGTGTTTTGTGTGTATTGTCCTGTACCCTTACAGATTGGTTCTTTAATTATACCCTTTGTACGTAAAATGGATTCGGGTAATTACACTTGCCAGCCATCAAACAGTGCTTCTGTTTCGGTACATTTACACGTTTTAAGTGGTAAGTGCAAAACTGTATTCTTTTGCAAGAAATGTAGAGCAAACGCTTTTAAAAAATAATTTTTAACTTGTTTAAGTAAGATTACCAGCGATTAACAATAGCAAATTGTAAACATTTATAATAATTGTTATGACTTTTGTTATTTCCTTTTGATTGTTTCTTTGTTTACCGTTTTTCTGGTTCTTTTCATTTCTCGTTTACTTAGGTGACTATTCAGCATCTGCCATAATGTCTACTGGCAACAATTATACCCTGAATTCTTACTATCTATTGCTGTTACTGCTGTTAATGTCCTTCTATAAAACGTGACTGGACTTTAAATGCTAACTATATAAAATTAACTAACCATTTCGGTATAACACTTAAACATTATAAAGAGTTAGTGGTAACGCAATCATGTGTACATATACAGAAAAGCGATTAATTAAAAATAATTAAAATTAATTTTTAAGAAGAACTGCAGAAAATTTGTGCGGAAATTTGTACTATAGGAATTTAAAAAGAAATATGAAAGAAAAAATTAAAAGTTTTTTACAAAGCTCTCCAAAAAATTCTAAACATCTTAAACTCAATACAGCTTTCAACAGAATACCTAACAATCAATAGAACAAAGGGGTCTTAGGGCCAATCTTATATACTCGCCACTCGAAGCAAATATATCAAAATTCAATTTTTTTTCTTAATTTCTGTGATGCCAATGGATTTGAGGCGGGACGAAACGAAACACATTTATTTAGATTTATATTTGACTTTTGCTTCAACCATACAAACACTGGACCAATTTCCGTTTTATGCCCTACACCACTTGTGCTATAACGTATATTAAGTTTATGCCTACAAATATTGCCCGAGTATAACCCGAAGAATCAAGATAAATTCATCTTCTATTATATCGATCGATTTAGAAAAATTTTCTGAATTTTCCCTTTGCTTTTCTCTGTCTCATATTCTTGGGTCCAATTTACGGGACTACATTTTTGAGATATTTTGATGAAATTCTGTACATCGACTTGTTTTGTATCAAGAACGAATAGTACTGATCGACCATTTCCCGCGGTATGAATAATTGCATTAAGCGAAGTGGTGTAGGCTATAATGTTCCTACTTGTTTTTAAATCGTGAAATTGGTTTAGAAATATGTCTGGTTATATGACTGGGAATTCTAGCAAACTATGAAATAGAACAACAGTTGAAAGTGAACGCGAACAATGTGGGTAGGGGTAGGGGTAGGTAAGTGTGTATTACTTCGAACAAAGATCGAAAGTGTTAAATGGACATTCGGTACAATATATAAATATAGCTATGTATACATATATATATACAAACGCATAAGCTTCAAATATAAGTCAACTTATCTACGCACGTTTATCCCTTTGTGCGCTTCATATAGGATTTTTTCTCATGCTTTCTCGACGGTGAGTATAATAACAAAAAGAAGAAACTACAAAGTTGTGAAGTATCAATAAATGTGTTAGCGTAGATTACAAATCAAAACTAATTTTAAAATAAAAACAAAATTTAGAAAATGGTCCTAACACCAAAGTATACAGCATTTTATAAAGCATAATTAAAAAAAATATATATATATATATTAAAAAATAATTAAAAAGTGTACGCGGTCTAACATTTATGTATATACATGTGTTCAAAATCCATATAAATATCACTGGGCAGTTTAATTAAAAATTTTATTAATTTTTAACAGAGAAAAACAAGCAAATTGGTTTTTTAAACTGAAAGCTCTACAATTCTCAAATAAAAACATGAGTAGATGGAGATCTTTGATAACTTAGCGAAGCACTTGTCCTTAGGCTTCGGGGCTATAAGGGAAAGATAAAAATGAATGGCATAATAATTTCTATCAAATCGGAATGGAATTTGGTGGTCTGGTGGTGCATGCAAAATATCGGTTCGGTTCCATTCAATTGTCATCCAATTCAGATCTATCCAATTCAGCTTAATTTAACGCAATTAAATTTAATTTAATGCAAGACAACTCAATTTAACCTGACGCAAATTGATTCAATTACAAATTTCTAAATAACATAACGGGTGCACATATTTTTCAATACAATGATATTATCTCTTAATATATATTAAAGTATGATCGATTACACCGGCAAGTCGTGTAACACAATAATGAGAAATGCTTGGACTTTATAACGTTTGATTTTACCATATTTCATTGAAAAAGAAGCAGACTTGTCCGATGCTTCAAAAATAAAGCGACGTAGCCATTTTTATATCCACCACCCAAGGATGAGAGGTATATTCATTTGGCCAAAACGTTTGGGACGCCAATAAGGAATCTTCTCTCTTTTCGTCTGCCCGCTTGCCCATCTGTATAAAATGTCTGTTGTAAAAAACGTCCTAGCCGCAAAAATGAAACTATCTGAAACATTTGAAACATGGCGCTTGTTGAAAATGAGACTGGTTGGCTGAAGGACACGTCTACAGTATCACGTAAACTGGGAGCACTTCTTTGGCTTTTCCTCATTACTCATAAACTGTAGAAGATAAATTTAAAAAATACGATCGTATCTTCTGTGAGAGATGTTGTATCGAAATGGAAAAAATCGTCCACGCCTTCTTAATTTTAGAATGTATCGTACATAATTTTCAAAAGCTTTATAACGCGCAGAACCAAAATTCAAAAAACCCATAAAATATAAAAGACCTTGGCCAGTTTCAAATTCGGAATGCGGTTAAGAATGTCCCTCTGTTCGTCTGTCTATCTGCCCGTCTGCGCAACTGATGATATCGCTTACAAAATTGCAAAAGAATTCGAAAATGACACAAACTTTTCTACAACGTCGGCACGTCCATGTCATGAAAGCGGTGAATAGCTTTCTTTTCCCTGTTTTTCGCTTGTTATTCACAAAGTACCATACAAATTTCCACTTTTATTCTAAAAATAGAAAAAATCGACGGCAGCCAGCTAATATTCTAGAGTTATTTTTCTTTTCTTACGATCATGGCAATGGGTATAAAAGATTCGGTGACAACTGAATATAATTTTCTTACTTGTTATTATTTGCAAATATTCTCAATTAATGAACATGAAGCAATGTAGAGTGTGGTGGTCGGTTGAGTACCCCGGAAAAATTCCATATTCAAATTTACTCGAACCCTGTTCAACTAATTTTAGATAAATTCAGTTTAATAGCGCCACATATATGTACCTATAGAATTACTCTTAACGGAAATACTTTTTCACCTACTTTTATAAAAAGAAATTCGTGTAAAAAAGTTTCAATTTATTCCTCTGGATTGCATTATGTCAAAAGTAGTGGATGTAAATTTGTCGAGAAAATCGGGGATAAGGAAACATGATTATAGATAATTTCTCCGTATTGTGGTATGTAATTACGACAAACGCGTATGTCTGTAACAACTAAAGTAGATAATCTGGGTTAATCAAGTGCTATGGAGTAACTTTAGCTTTCAAATCAATGCCTTCTAGAGTAGGCAATCTGGATCAAATAAGAGCTACTGCAATTACGTACACGCGCGAAAACTAGAAGAGACAGTCATCATGCTCGTTGCAATGACAAGTCGGTTAAAGTCTGTATTCTGATTACATTTCTATTCATTTGCGTACACATTGCCTGATCAAAATACTTGCCGTGTTTTAACTATCTGTTTTGTACTTTTTACTTCCAACTTCAAACTAGCAAATATCTGCCTTAATTACATATCGTAATCAATTCAATTCAGATTGTACGCCAGTGATTTTTCATAGTTTTGGAAATTTCAAAGGTGCTGGAAGATAGGTTCAGTTGCACTATAGAACAGATTAGGATACAATTAACTCGCGGGTTTCCAATGAATGTGATTGGGGCTGAGAAGTATGCAAGATATTAATGAAATGAATGAAAAATTTCTTGAAAAATTGCTTTCAGAAAGCCTTCAAAGCGTTTCGCATTTACTTTTCCTCGAATTCATCGAAAACAATGTTTCTTTTCAAGAGATTGTGAAGCACACATACAGAAGCTAAGTGTTTCTTCTCCTACACAAAAATGATTTTATAACTTAGGTCTAATGGAATCTGCCGCGTCACGAACTGCAATGCCAACTAAATTTTATATTCATCGTTCTTGTATGTTTTGGCATACTTCACTTCTATCATTAAGAGAATATGCATTTAAATGAAAAATATATATAAAAAGAAAAAAAGCCTACAAGTATTTAAATAAAAATACCAAGTTTAACTAAAAAAAAAATAACACAAACTTTCCTTCCATTTAGAACACAGAAAAATCAAAAACAAGTAAATCCAAGTTATTATATTTAATGTAAATATTATAGTGTAGGTCTTTATCCGGAAAAAACTTGTAATTAAAACTATAATGAATTAAATGTAATTTTAAAACCAAAACAACAGCCAAGTAAACAAAATGAAAGTAAAAAAAAGTGAAAGGAAATCGCAAGCATAACGATAATAATAAAAATAAAAAGCCAAGAACAACATAACAATTTACTTAAAAATTTTATTTCGAAAGAACACAAGTAAAACAAATGTTAAAGGTAAGAACGAAAGGTGAAAGGTAAAGGCAAGCAGTTGTATACATTTTTATGTACATCCTGCATCCTTGGTAGTATTAAAAATGAAGTCATAAAATTCATGTTCCGGTTTCTTCTGTCGCTTCCGCATTTAACAACAACATAAACGTAAACATAATCTACAACACTTACTATAACAATACATTTTCTGTCGTTTTATTTAATATTTTTCTTTTTTTCTTTCTTCTTTAACTCACCCACGAAAAACTTGCATACACTAATCTTCTCATTGCGTTTGAGTTTCTAGGGGTAGTGCTTCAAGAACATCATAATGTTTAGGCAGATACCTATGGTAATATATATTCAAGATTTTAAATCGTTTTTTATTTACATCGTCCTCCTTCTTCTGCTGGTCTGGCGTTTTTCCTAAGTGTTTTCGGAACGAAAACAGAAATATTGAATCTTGGTATTATTTTTCTTATAGTAGTGGAAATGAAAGTAGATGTGATACGCCTATAGATAATAGTAAACAAACAGATTGGTATTGAAAGGACTTTCTAACACGTGTTAATACATGACAAATATCGGTAAAAGTATTTGCTGTGTCGGTTTTATCAGTCCACTTTCTAAAAGTACCGCTAATTAAGATTATCATCGGAGACCCACTCCCCACCGAAAAAAAGTCAAATTTAATGAATTTAATGTAAATGATAGGAGTCCAAGAGTCAGTTTGCATTGATTCCAAGTTAGTTACCTGGTTTTTATTTATTTATTTATTTTTGTACCCACCGCTGGAGGATGGGGGTGCACTCACTTCGCCATAACACTTGCAACACCAAAAAGGAAGCTTCAGAGACCCTATAAAGTCGATATATTCTTATTGTTGACTTTCTCCTCGTCCGATATGATTAAAATAATTTTATACATTCCTCAAATGAAGATATATTTTCTGCTTAAATATGCGTTAATTCTAAAATAAATATGGTATGCATATGGCCTTAAATTAATTTCCCCCTTAAGAATACCAGCGATTTGGGTATCAAATAAAAGGACTTCGAGAGTACAACGACGAGGCGATGGGGTATGACGACGTACTGGATTAATTTTTTCGTTACAATACCGTTGACATGGGTATCACATATAAAGACATGGAGACTAGAATGAGAAAGTCTGTTAACTCTGAATTAGTTACGGTAGACGACACGTCTCTATACATTAATTTTTCTTAACAATATCTTTTAGTGAAGTAAATGGTGAAAGATAAATTTTTTATCACAATAAATAAAGGCATATGGCAAATATTATAATGGTGGTGGGTATGCGAGATCCGACTCGAACTGAATATAACTGTCTTATTTGTCTTTTTTTTTTCATGATCCGAAACTATGTGAGGCTGTAGTAAAATGTGCTATTCTCAGTCAAAGGTTAACAAACATAAAACCAAGTTATTTCAGCATGAACGCGTGTGAAATTGTTAAATCCGTATAACCTTAAGGATTTTCTAAAGTCATTATAAGTAAAAAAAATTGTTC